GCGCTCCGCTCTATTACCGAGCGTACTGTAGACGCGCAGCCAGCCCAAAACGTGACCAGACCCCCGGATCCTGAGACCCCCTGACCGAGAGGGCCATGCCTAGGGGCGCGAGACTGAGTCTGCGCCGGCTGGCTTGCACGGATTGTGACATGGGGGTCTAGAGGGGGGAGAGGCCCCCTCGAGAGCGCCACATCTGGATCCTGCTAGGGGTCAAGGCTTCTCCTGCCTGAGGCCTGCACAGTAATTAACGGAGACACGTTGTTTAACCATTTCAAGTCAGGGCCCCTCTCTCGTGCACAAAACAACACTGTTTTTTCTTTCATTCAAATAAACGGCGTTGGCATATATTATTAATCCATTTCTGTGTTCTGCATTCTTGGGGAAGGTGGAGGAAGGTGACAGAGCAGAAAGATAGGAATTGGGTTTTCGTTCGAATTATCCTTTTACCCATACTTACACTTATTTATGGCTAAGTAATACAGCTTTGGATCATCAAATCAGGTTTTGGGACGTGTATGCGAGTTGCAGTGCAATTTTCACAGAGCGTGGGGCTTGATAGCTGAAACATATGTTTCCCTAGAGGGGCCGCTTAGACTCCACCATTCTTTTAATTAAAACACCATTATCTCTGAGCGCATGACGAGACGGAGATCTGGTGGAGAGGGGTCACTAATGTCAGTATAATTATGTTTTATGGTCTCGATTTCGATTATTATAAATGAGACGTCTCTTTACTTGAGACTAAACTATATATCAGATAAATAGTCAACGCAAGTGTTTCATTCAAAATCATGAACTGCATTTGTGAAAAAAGCAAAGCATTGAGATCAGTATGCTATTCGTTGTTTGATGACAACAATCTTCTCTTGCTCTGTTTAGACATCATCTGCTTATCTAAACCATGAGACAGCGTGTTTTCAACTCTCAAAATGTAATGATAACTTGTCCAAAATAAATGTAGTTTTATTTATGGAGCAAACATCTTCATGAGGTGCATCATTAAACCTAGAAAAATCAGCCTCTTTTCCCGCGTGTCACTTGCTCAGGTCATTATGAGTCCAGCGGTAACAAACATTTTGGAAGGCCAATAAACAGATGCATGTTGGTTTATGTAGTGAGCCGCAGAACATCTGGCTCAACGCTGGAGCTTGACAGCCAGGCATTTCTCCCAACCACGACCTGTGGGAAGCCAGTGGCCCAACGCTACTGGGGAAAAAACCCTGAAGTGCCAGAGTAAGACTAACCCAGAGTGAGACCAGAGACTTCCTCAACTTTAAAAGGAAGAAAGAAGAAAAAACGGTGTGGGAACAACATGGTAAATGGACTTTCGACCAGACAATTACATAACGCGCTACTAAAGTCTGCAACTATAAGACCTAATCTATCTATCTATCTATCTATCTATCTATTGGTTCTACAACAAATACTCGTGCGAGGCGATCCGGATAGGCATCGTGCTCCTCAGCTTACTCTAGACCGTCACGAACCTCTTTCCTCTCACGCGCGGAGAATCACACGGACATCGGGAAATAAAATAGAGACTGCAGCACACAACAGCAAACTGTCTGGCCTCCTGCTCCGGGCCATAATTGATTTGAGATTTATTTTTATTGGAAAGCCCCAGTCTCGCCCGGCCTTAACCAAACAAAAACCTTAACCTGTGGCTTCGCCTGAATGAAGCTGAATATTTCTCTGAAACTGGCCTTTCTTGAGGCGTGCTGAGGTAAATCTCCTTTTTCCGCTCAAATTCTGCCCGCCAGCAACAACAGCCACATATGACCGTTTTAACCCGGTCTCATTAAAGTGCGTATCAATACCATGACTTTCTATTTCTAGTTGGCGTGCTATTTATACGCCGAAATGACTTTGGCATGCATATGATGCACAATGGTTAGGATTAGGGGTGGGGTGTGGGGTAGGTGCGTCTTATACACGCGTAAACTGCGTATCATATGCACACCAAGACATTGCGTATCATATGCACGCGAAAACTACGTATTATATGCACGCCAAAGTCAATTTCTTCATATAAATAGCACGCCAAATACAAAAACTTGATTTTGGTTGTATTAGAATAATTCTCTAATGCAGACACACCCCGAGAGGGTTTAAAAATAAGAATAGCTACACATCATAAAACATAATAACAATAAAAACAAAAATATTCCCAGAGACTTCTATTGCTCCATTTTATTGTACGTGGCCCAACTCCACTGCCACTGCCACGCAGTGCACTATTTATTATTCAGTCTGTGGAGAGAAAGCTGGATTTCAAAGAGAAGGTTTTCCCTCAACATTCCTGCGCTGCTAATGTCTCGAAACAAATCGAGGACTGTTCGTGGGACTGTGAAACGCAGCCCCTCTGTGGAGGAACACAAACTATAGCGTCTGCATGAAAAGCTCCCTTATGCAGGGGGCAATAAGTCTCCATAACATAACAACTCAGCTCTGGAAAATATGCTGATTGTAAAGATATAATGAATGACTTTAGCAGGCACAATACTTCATTTTAATGGCTCTGTCTGTACGCTGTGCACTAAGCCTTTTGATGCAATAACGTTATTGCTGTGGCACTTTGCCATAAATAACCATCCAAATATGCCAATGTACATTTCAGCCTCTAAAAGAATGAACAGTGATAATACAACATACCCTTCATAAATTGGCAGCCTATATAACTCCATGTTAGCACCAGAAAGTGAGCAATTCAGTATAAGTGACATAATCAATGTAGACCAAAAACCCACATGTAGAGATTCCTTAAACAGTTCGAGTTCTAAATGGAAACTTCCCTGTGCACGGATTGTCGAACTTAGTTCATGCAAAAACATATGTCTGCCATTTGCAATGTTTACATTCTTTAAGACCATGTCGAGAGAGAGAGAGAGAGGAAGCACCAAGTCACATACAATAATGTGCAACATTTTTTAAGGTCAGAGATGGCGTGTCCCTTCGTTCAATGGCCAGATCAAATTTAAGACTAAGCTAGACAGACAGTGTACACTCTACCAGATGTGTTGTAAACCAATTAACTCATTCATTTTAAGTCAAACATGACGAGAGGTGAATCCGGAAAACCGCGTTTTTTTTTCAAGCCGTTTACATCAGTCATCAATGAAACTTGGACGAGGAAAAAGGCAATTTAGAAGTTCCACTCTGTTTCCTCCGACATTACCTGCTCGTAGTGACGATGTTGTCTTACCTTGACGTAAGACGACGTGTCGGGGACGGTCTGAAACATTCTCATTGGACAGAGAGCCCGGAAATGTGTGATGTTCACTTCACGGCCCCTTAAAAAAAACAAGTCCACAGGTCATCTTAGAGGAAACTAGTTTAGACTGTCAAAACTAACAAATAAATATGCCAGAGTTAAACGTCTATAATAATAATAATAATAATAAGTATTATTATTATTAGAAAAATAGCTAATTTAACCAAATTAGGCTATTTCTTAATTCTGATTTAATTCCGACTGCTGCTCTTAAGACCCACATTAAGCTCGGAAATTTAACTTAATTTCAGTTTTCATCTGCTAAATTTCGGAAGCAAACGAATTCATTCATTATCTTTCAGCAATTCATGAATACCCATCTCTCACAAATCAGCAAAAAAAAATAAAATAAAAAATAAAATATATATATATATATTTATTTATTTATTTATTTATCTGAATTACACGGATTCTCCTCCGTGATCATGTTTCCCTTCGCCATGCCAGTTCTTCTCAAAATTGATTTACGTCTCAGTTTCTGCGAAATGCTTTTCTTTATGCCCTAGAGTGATATTTTAATTTCGACAGAGAGAAGCTCGTTTTTCTGCATTCTCTGTGTGTACCTGCACCATGTATAATTGTAAAATCATTTGCAGCGCAGCAGTTCTTGTGAATAGTATGGGCACGTTGGTTTCCAGTTAAGCCACATCCAGTAATCTAAACAGAGAGGTCAGATCTGGTTCATGAGCTTATATGAGGGGCACGAGTGTAGCACCGTTAAACAGAGCTGCATTTATTCCTAATAATTGTAGCCTATACCTTTCATCCCTCCGGGTTTTTTTTTTTTTTTTTTTTTTAATTCACTGCACGTAGTACTCCATTTCAAGTAGCCTATTTTGGCTACAGGTGGCAGTACATGCAGAATTAATATTATTAATAATAATAATTTTGATATTTTATGCTATAATAATCAAAACATCACTTATATATTTATTTGCTTTTCTCATTCATCATCTTTCGTTTTTGAATGTGTTTATGAGACAAGGCTGTGTAAGATATGTCAATTAGGCCCAGCCCCTTTCACGTTCAGAGCAGCCACATATTGAAACACTTTTCGTTTGAATAAGTGTAGCTTACAAAGTCTCGGGTGAAAGGGCACCTCGGGGACGGTGTCTTTCGCCTTTCCTTCGGCGTGTAATCACAGAGCAGGCTGGCACTAGCATTATTTAACATTCCACAGCAGTTCAGCAGCACTATGAAAATAACTGATGGCCATATCAAAACACAGCAAGAGAAATAAAGAAACATAACAGAACTTTATTTCTCGCAAATCGTCCTGATTTGTGCATTGAAATTTGACTGTCTTAAAGTTGTTTTTTATCCTTTTTTAGAGGCTATAATCATTGAGTGAGGATTTATCAAGAACAGCAGTGTGATAAGAGTGAACTATTGCATCCTGATGTAGCCTAAAAAAAAACTTTTTTGTTTGTTTGTTTCAGTTGTGAGCTCAAAAAGGCCTTTCTCAACCAATTTACTTTCCCGAACCACTGCAAAAACATGCATTATATTCATGCATCATTTTGTCCGCATTTGTTTCAATCCATTATTACTGCAATTTATCTTATTTCTATTCACGTTTTCAGTGCCAATACGACTTTCTTCACCACTAATTAAAAGGGGTAGACAATTTATGACTGCAAGTTGTCACTTTGATTTTTACTTATTTTTATTTGTGCATTGCATTGCACTTAACTCCTGAAACATTCATTTTAAATCAATCTGTGCGTGAAGCATCAAGGCTAGATGCCACATATAATTACGTGTTTACACACTTTACATTAGATTGAATAACGTATCAATAAACGGAAAACATAGAATGATGGACGTAGGCTACATCAGTGCAACTCAGTAATGGTGGAAATTAAAATGCATTCGTCAGTTGTCGGGTTGTCATGTCGATACCTAAACGCACTGACCGTAATGAATGAATCAGGAGTCTTATAATTCGCTCGATTTATATTCGCAGCGTCAGACATCGGGCTGCTGCGGGCGAGAGCTGGGCTCGCCTCATAAACTTTCCCAAATGCATCCAATTTCTAAACGGTAAAAGAGCATAGAATTCCGCATCTGTGGCCAGTTAAGTGACTGGAGGCTCAACGGGACTGTTAAGTAACAGCATCGCCTCTCCTCCGAAGAGGACCGAGAGCGTCTAGTGTTTCATTTGAAGCCTATTTCCTAGCGTGTTCGTGTTATCCATCAAATAACGTCTCTCTCGACTGTCAACACAATGGAAACGAGCAGAGAAAAGCGACATTCCAAAGTGGACAAGGAAATCAAATCATTCGCTAATGAAAAATAGCTCCACGTGCATGTGTTTAAAGATGATTGTAGAGCGACAACAACTTTCTGGACAAACTAAGATTAGAAAGAACGCGTATGGCTCAACTTCTGCAGCGCTTGACCTCAAACACGGAATACTCACCTGTCTTGTCTCTGTCACTGGGTATTTCTGAACTCTTTTCCAGTCTTAAATAATTAGTCCCGTCTATGAGAAAGTGATTGTCATGTGAGTTATGTGGAGGAGGCGTGAGAGGAGGAGAGGAGGGATGTATGAATGGGGAAAGTGAGATTGGAGAGCAACGACCAATGAGGAAGCACGAGCTCACCCTGAACATCCACTGAACTGTGAAATAAGGGAAATCTGACTGAAATGAGCACAGCACCATAAAAGAGAACGAGAGAAGGGGGGAAAGCGTGAAGAGTACGGGAATGCATCCGAATCTTCTGCAGACATAAACATTCAAAAGACAGTTCATTCATTCATTCACTTGGATATTTACTTCGTTCATTCATGCCATTTCGAAAACTATACGAGCATTTACAGAGCACAAAATACCAAAACAAAACGGCACAAAAAAAAAAAAAGTTTTGCACAAAACATAGTTTGTGCTTCGTGGTAGTTATTGCTTGGAAATATGCATTTAAAATAATATTTAATTTTATCGATGGCTCGTCAGGATGAACGCGCTCAGTGGGCTCCTGTCACATCCACGCGTCACCCGTGACCGTCTCTTTCCTGTTAGGTTGACCCTGTTCACTTCACTAACTCCATTTCCTTCACCCCAGAACTCCTTCAAAGAACCAGCGGCAGGTTTACAGTCGGGAAAGCCGCTGATGCATGACGTTTGAGGAGCCAAACACTTGATAAAGACCCTTGATCTGAACTGAAGGCGGTTCTCAAATTTGGTCTGACCGTTTTTTAAGCTGTTGATTTGAAAGCTACACTCTTAAAACTAAAGGTGCTTCAAAAGGTTCTTTAAGAGATGCCATAGAAGAACCATTTTTGGTTCCACAAAGAACCATTCAGTCAAAGGTTCTTTAAAGAACCATCTCTTTCTTACCTTTCTATAATCTGAAGAACCTTCTTTCGCCCCAAAGAACCTTTTGTGAAACAGAAAGGTTCTTCAGATGTTAAAGGTTCTTTATGGAACCATTTAGACAAAAAGGTTCTTCTACATCGTGAAGCACCTTTATTTTTAAGAGTGTAGATGACACTTTACATTGTGTTCATAATTCAATTTACATAAGTACTGAGTAGTACACACCAAGTGATCTACAAATATGCTTAATATAATATATGTGAGTTGCTTGTGATTGCAATTTGCTAGCTATTGTAATCGTGTCCATGCTATTGTAATCAATTATTACACAATGGAAAATGTGCAACATGGGTGCAGCAATGTAAAGTGTTACATTATGTTGCAAAATAATTATGTGTCTTTGCTAATGGATTTTTATCTAACAATTTAGTTTGAGCTCATGGTCCCCCCCCCACACACACACACACACGCACACACACAAACAAACACAAAGTAGTACAAACATTTTCACTTAAGTCTAAATTTATCTGACTGATTTTGGTAAACCTGAGTAAACTCTGGCACAAACAGTATTTGGAATAGCACACCACGTTCCCGTAAGATCGCATAAATTCTTTTGAACAATAGCAGGAAATTGCCACCTTACCCAGACCGGAAACATATCTAAAGGCAACCGTCACTACTTGCAATGCCTGAATAACATTTACAACATGTACAATGCTAAATTCTTACATTCATTAACCAACACAGAAAAGTTTTGTTTTATTTTCTATACCATTATATATTATTTATTTATTTTTTTTAATTCATCAATGTAGGCTATCCTGCCTGAGTAGCTCCTGGAATTTTACAGATGTCGGGACTGAAAACACATCTGGGTGATGCACTTCCATCCCTTTTGACGGGAGTGAGAAACAATAAACAGGGTTAGTTCACAGAAACTGTTTTTTTTTTCTCTCCTTTGTCTGGTTGCTTTCAAGTTGTTACTGTAATCATATCAAGTTCAGTAATAAGTGAACTAAGAGATCTAGACAGACAGATGTAAAAGAAGCATGATTCATAAAAACTGAATTGCAGTG